TGAATATTTGCAGTAAGCGTGCATGTGCGCAGAAAACCTGAAAAAGAAATTTGAAATACTTTGTTATTTCTAACGGCGTTGGAAGCACCTGGCATCACTTGGACTTAGCCAGTATTAGGATCCGACACACTGGTGATAAAATGCTTCTGTTTTGTTTCTTTTAAGAAATGTATTTGTCGCACATTATTGTTTTCAGGTTGATTAAATTGATAGCTTTTGAAATGAAGTTCCATGTAGTTGCAGTTACAGTTTGTCTTCACTCCTTAAATTGTGTTTCTGCGGGTTGGGATTGTGTGTTTTTATTATTTCTGACAAAGCACAAATGTATCATTAAAGGGTTTTTTTTCCTTTGTTTCTTCCAAGTTTTCTCCATGAGTATCCAGTCCGCGCGCAGCAGCACTTGATCTCGGCGGGGAAGCGGAGAAAAAGAAGATGACCATTCACGTCGAGGGTCTCGTGGCTATCGTGCTCTTCTATGTCCTGATTCTGTTTGTGGGGATCTGGGCTGCGTGGAAGAATAAGAACTCTGGAGTTGGCGATGGCTTAGATCGGAGCGAGAATATCATGGTTGGGGGAAGGGACATCGGCTTGTTTGTTGGTGGATTTACGATGACCGGTGAGTCTTTAAATCTGTATTTCTTGGTGTCTGTTCGACGGCAGCCACGTGCGCATTTTATCCAATTTTCATACCATGTAAGGTCCAAAAGGACAAAAAATAAAAAAACTTTCCACTGACTAGGGTCTTCCGCTCCGTATTTTACGCACAGATTGCGCAGCGGGCAGAAGTAGAAATTTCCATCACAGTTTTCACCATTATACTCATGCAGTTCAGAAAACTTGAAATGTATATTTTCTTTTGATTTGTTAATTTACAAATAAGTTTTCTTCTTCTTTTTCAGCCACTTGGGTGGGAGGGGGCTACATTAATGGAACAGCAGAATATGTCTACCTCCCAGGTTTCGGCCTGGCCTGGGCACAGGCACCCTTTGGTTATGCTCTCAGCCTTGTAGTAGGTAGGAAACCTAGAAAAACTTGGATAAATAGATCTGCTTATAGCGAGATTAAAAAGGGAAAGAGTTGCATCACCTAATGTAGTTAATGTAATGTAGTTTAAATGTAGTTAATGTACTTTTTGCCTAGAAATTAATATGCTTTCCTACTTTTAAGACAGAAATTCCTTTACATAAATTCATATTGATATTATATTTAGGTGTAGGAAGACTGATATTTGTGCTATTAGACTGATATTAAAGTAAATGTAAATTTAAGCTGTGTTGCTGAAGCATATAGAATTTGGTCTATTCATTAAGGTTATTATACAGCATCAGCACACTTTACGTTAAGTTAGTAGTACTGTACAACGTTCTAAAATGCTTCTCTCCTGCTTTTTGTCTGCATTATCTCAACATCTGACATCACTCAGGGGGCCTTTTCTTTGCCAAACCCATGCGATCACGTGGATATGTGACCATGCTAGATCCCTTCCAGCAGCTATATGGAAAAAGGATGGGTGGTCTGCTGTTCATCCCTGCACTCATGGGAGAAATCTTCTGGTCTGCAGCCATTTTGTCCGCTTTGGGTAGGCATCCCAATGGATGAGATTGTGAATCTCACCACTTTAAATCTAATCTATGCTTTAGAATATACTGCATTGTATGCCCAAACTCATTGTGAGTGAAACATCAGGTTACCCAGATTTTAGTGAATTCTTTTTTTCTTCTTCACTCTGGTTATATTTCCATGCAGGTGCGACTCTCAGTGTGATAGTGGATATAAATATCAACATGTCTGTGGTGATCTCAGCACTGATAGCCATCTTCTACACACTTGTTGGAGGACTTTACTCTGTTGCATACACAGACGTGGTCCAGCTCTTCTGTATCTTTCTGGGTTTGGTGAGTTTGGGGGCTACTCGACCAGCAGCTCTAATGATTTTAGCCAATATTTAAACCAAATCTTCTATCAGTTCTAGAAGATTTTTAAGTAACTTTTTAAGTAACATAACTTTAAAAAAAGATCTAAATTTATACACACAGAATCATATCAAAACATGAAATTGATAAAAGCACCTTTTGTATCAACAACACAGGGTAGAGTAGAACTTGATTTCAACAGCCAGATATTGAAATGGTATAAAAATACAATAATTCCATATTTATGTTTTATTGTATTAATGTTGCATTATGATTTTCTTCTTCTCCTTTCAGTGGATCAGTGTGCCTTTTGCTCTGTCCAATCCTGCCGTGTCAGACATCGGTGTTACAGCCAAGAAAACAATCTATCAAGCTCCTTGGCTCGGGAAGATTGAGCCTGAAGACAATTGGCTCTGGGCGGACAACTTCTTTTTGCTTGTAAGCCATAACTTTTATCTGAAGTTTCACCGAGAGACAGTATACAACTCTAAAGTCAATTGCAGACACACTTTCACTTAAGTCAAAATGAAAGCATCGTGTTTAAGAGACCCATTCGTGGCACGTAGCATTTAATGGTTTCTTAGTACTGAAATGGAGTTCTTTACTAGAAACAAAGAGATTCACAGTATTCTTTTTAGACTGCTGATTGTAATGCATTGGTTTGGTGTTTCTGTTTCTAGATGTTGGGGGGGATTCCCTGGCAGGTCTATTTTCAACGGGTTCTTTCTGCTTCTTCAGCTACCTACGCCCAGGTCCTTTCATTCCTCGCTGCCTTCGGTTGCTTGGTCATGGCTGTCCCCTCTGTCCTCATAGGAGCTATAGGGGCTTCCACTGGTAATAATACACACAGAGACACAAACACAAATATGCACCCACAGGTGCATCAGACATTATTATTCTTAAAGCTAAAATGGGGGTCCCATAATATTTTAATAAACTGAATTAGATGAGTGTGCAGAAACAGTTCTTTTTAAACAGTGTACCCAAGCGTAGTATATATAATCCTTTCTTTAAGCAGTAATGGAGCTAGCTGTCATTTGCATCCAGATTTACAAGGACAACAAAGACAGGTAGAAGTATGAATCACTATACAGTGCCACCGCTGCTTTATATGCACACCCGCTGTTATGTCTGGATTGCAGCTGTTAAATCAGACTTTTTAGGCAAACACACGCTAATCAGAGACTAATCCAAGACGGATGTGCACACGCACAGACATGCACAGTGATTAAGCAGTAAATGAAACATCACAAGACAATCGAAACATCCAAGAACCTTATCCTTTATTCAAACGGGAAAGTGTGATCAAAGAGAGCACCCTGGCTTCATGGGGTTGTTTACTCCCCAGCAGCCCTTTTCCTTTTTCAGATGTGTAAACAGTGATGTATACAGTATACAGTGTCTGGAGGGTAAACAGCAGACAGATGCTGTCACGACGTGCAGAGGAGAGAGAGCCATCAGACCATGGCAATTTAGTGAATATTACATCTGAAGAGGAGTTAATTAATCTGGTCCATCTGAAGCCGTTACTTGTAGAACTGGCACTAATCAACCACTGCCTATGAATATCTGGGGATGGGTAGAGAAAGACATATATATATAAACCATAGTCGTCTGAATGTTGGCTTAACAAAGATGAGGGTATCAGTACAGCCAGCGTCCATGCATACTTTTGTATCTAATAAGTTCAACATAGCCTGTCAGAACTATTGGCTCCCTTATGATGTTAACCATTATCAATGATTAATCGACAACAGTTAAATGCAATTAATCAACATAATGTCCATAATTATTTAATACTGACTCATATGCTTCCACGGATCATTAACAAACCAGTATATTACCCTCATCTATGTTGAACTGGGGTCTAGTTTTCAGTCAGTATCCAGTTTAATTCGTGCTATTATTACTGTGGCTTTGTTTATTGTGTTTTGACCAACAGCAGATTGAATCTGTGCTGCTATTAAGGCACCTAGGCACATTAAGGCCTTTTGTTTCTCAGCTTTAAAGCATGTGTATCCACTGAGAGCATTAACTTTTTTTGTCTGAAAAGCTAAGGGATCAAAAATTGTAATAAAGAAATCTGTACACTTAATTTTCTGCAGGGTGGCCGGAAAAGTAATGCTATTAATCTTAAAATGCGAATGTGTGCCAGGTACAGTTTGTTCAGCTTTAGTTACGTCGTGTTACTACCTCATGCAAGGCACTTTCTTTCTGTTTTTTGTTCTAACCAATAATTAAGACAAATGCTGATGACTGCTTTTCTAATTTAACACATAGATAATCTTCACAGTTGAGTGCAAAGATTGACTGGTTGGCTAAATGTTTCATTAGAGCCGTAATAATAAGCTGTGAAATTTGCATTGTTTACAATTATCAGTTTTTATCTATTTCTCATGTCCTGATTCAGACTGGAACCAAACTACATATGGTTCCCTCCCTCCAAAGGATAAGGATGAGTCTGACATGATCCTTCCTATAGTGCTTCAGCACCTCTGCCCACCGTACATCTCCTTCTTTGGTCTGGGGGCTGTGTCAGCTGCGGTCATGTCATCAGCAGACTCATCCATACTCTCAGCCAGCTCCATGTTTGCCAGAAACATTTATCAGCTGGCGTTTCGGCAGTCGGTAAGAGCAATATTCCTAGCACACACATACGTCTGCACAATTTCAGCAAGTGGTTCCAAACATCAGTCAGCCTATCCATTAATCAACTTTATTTTCACACGAAAAAAACAACCAAACAAGAGCCTACAGCAGAAATTAAATGTGCACTTTATCGAATTTGCTTAATACCCGAAACCTCGAGATGGAAATCTTTGTAAGTTGTTTGTGTTATAATTATTTGTTAGATAATGTTAGATGGTTAGACAATCTGCTAAACTGGTCCCAATGAGATTTCCTGCTATTCATTCCCATCACATTTGTAACAGACATTAATTTTCAGAATTGTGAAAATTACTGTGCATGCTAATACTGTGCAAAAGTCTTAAGTCAACCTGCTTTTCTTTATATTTTGGTAGGAAAAAATATATTTAGGCATCCTTTTATTGCACTAACTGTGTATTTGGGAGCATTGTCATTCTAAAAAAATGAAAAATGAAACAATTGCTAATCAGATGCTTGCCAGTTTTTCCAAGATCCCCCACACCACTGGTTGAAATGCAAACCCAAACCTCGGTTGTGTTGTAAAAGTGGCTAGACACATATTTATACCTCTCTTCTGGTTTCCTTTGAACATATTAATTATGATTGGAGGGAAAAAATAAATACAATTTGGATTAATCACTCGATAAGACCTGTTGCCATTGATTTTAAGACCAAATAGTGCCCTACAGTGTTGTTTTGTTGTACCACTGAGCTCACCTTTTCTCAACATCCAGTTTCCCTGAATAATAAGAGTATGGAGAAGTAAATGAGTGAATAATTTCAAACAGAACCCACATCTCCAAGCGCTTTCGTATCTAAGTGCAACCTCACACAGACACTACTTTAGCTGTAGGCTCTAATCTTTTATCTGAACTGACTTTCATTTAAGTTAACACCCTATTCCCCTCCAGTTGTTGTGTTTCTCTCTTTACTCTTTTATCCCTTTCATCTCCCTTACAGGCCTCAGATCGGGAGATTGTTTGGGTGATGCGCCTCACCATCTTTGTGTTCGGAGCTCTGGCCACTGCCATGGCATTGTTAACAGGATCAGTATACGGCCTGTGGTACCTGAGCTCTGATCTGGTCTATGTCATCATATTCCCCCAACTTCTCAGTGTACTGTTCGTTAAGGGCACCAACACCTATGGTTCTGTGGCTGGTTATATCTTTGGTCTTCTGCTGCGCATTGGTGGAGGGGAGCCCTACCTCAAACTACCTCCATTCATCTATTACCCCGGCTGGGTGACCCAGGAGAAGGTCCATCACCTCACTGGAGATGTAGAGCACTTTGTCCAGCAGAGGTTCCCCTTCAAGTCTGTGTCCATGGCGGCATCCCTCTTGGCCAATGTGTTTTTTTCTTACCTGACAAAGTATCTATTTGAAAGTGGTATGCTGTCACATAAGTACGACTTCCTGGATGCTGTTGTTTCCAAGCACAGCAAGGAGATAATGGACAAGGCAACACTGGTAAGCAACCATGATAACATAATTCTTTCAGAGATGGCTCCTGTCAGGCAGGTCTTGGGTGCCTCACTTGCTGGGACCTTTACCAACACGGAGGTCCTCAGTGATGATGGGGCATCTAGTCCAGAGGCTTTTCACAATGAAGATTAGACATTTAAGGCACAAAGTAAACTAGAACCAAGGAATGTAAAGAAGAAGGAACAGTCAAAAGAGGCATCAATATTCTTCAGGAAAATTACTACTGCCACACTGGGAGCCAAATCAACAGAGCATCTGCTGTGGCTTTCAAGTGACTCCAAAAGTTTCTGACGGCAATATGGTGCCTCCTTCTTTTTGAGATTCCTTGCCTAGAAACAGCAAATGGACTCAATCACCTGTGCGAATCATGCCACACTCATTCTTATGTTTTCTTATCATGACTCTGTGAAACTTCAACCATTTTCATTTAAGTGCTGCTATAGCGATCGGAGGAACTTTGGATGGATGTACAGCAGGCCTATATGAGCAAGTCTACAAGGATTTGTTGTGGATCATGAAAATAGTGCAATATCTAACCAAGAAACTGTGTCCACATCTACAAGTCATTATTTAAAGCATAATCTACGTAAGTTCGTTTACATGTACCTGACAACTAAGCTTTTATCATACTTTGAGTTTCATGTAGAACAACGTTATTGATAGAGCAATAATATTTTTAGGACCCACATTGTACAGCTAGATACATTTTACTGAATTTGATTTTTACCATGTCTTGTTTAAACCTGAAGACCAGTAGATGTTTGCAAGTTTTATGTTCTGTTTTCAGCTCGATTTAATCTTCTTGCTGAAGTCCATAATTATATGACCAAACCCTGACTTTACCAAATAGAAGATACTGACTAAATCAGCAAAATCCCAAACAGCGTTCCATAAAAACTTTTTTTTTCATTCATTCTGCCAACACTTAGCAAGCTAACTACCATCTTTGTTGTATTGACAAGATTACACTAAACAAAAGCGATCAATGAGTGACAGCATAAGAAGAATTCATCGTGGGGGTGTTTTATAGATACAGGGCAAAATTATCATTCATTTGAATGCAATGGGTGGCCCAGTGGTGTTGTGGTTAACACGCTCGCCTTACACCCGAAAGATCACCAGTTCATAACTGAGAGGAGACACAAAGCCAGCCTCAGGAGGTCACAGGCTAATGTACTCCCACTATTTTGACCCAAGTCCCTACCCGGATAAATGGCAGGGTGTCGTCAGGAAGGGCATCCACTGTAAAAATCCATGCCAAATAAAATATGCGGATACATCCTCTGTGGTGGAACTAAGGGAGCCACCGAAAGTACCTATCCATCAGATTAATGAAGCTTCTGCTCAGCTCTGTTTTGATCTTTGCTATTCCTGTCAGTACTGACGAGTCCCTAAAGTTACAACTTTATTGTAACTTTAACCCAATCTCTTTAATGTGAGCTGATGAGACGGTGATAGTGAAATCAGAAAACCAAAACAGCGAGTAAAACGACAACAATAGTCTGGAGCACAAAAGAGTGGTTCTGAGCTCAGTGATGTAGTCATTTGAACCAGTATTTATTCTAGAATAAAGTTTGATGGTCACAGGGAGACTGGGAGAATGATCATAAGCTTCCTGCTACTGACACTAAAGTTCTGCACTGAACCTAAATTGTGTGTTGCTGAATCATCATGAATCAGAGTAATTAGACAGGAGCTCTGACTTTATTACACGCCACCCCGTGACCTTTCTTTCCCCTTGTACTTTCCAGGCAGCCATTGTCTTCCCTTCATTTCAATGCATTATGAAAATCAATTTGCTCGTTGTTTTTGTCAAACATACAATGGGAATACATCTTTAAACTACCATTCATTTACAGCTGGAATGGTAACACTGACACCAGTAAAAGCACATGATGTTCATTTTGCAAACAGATTTTATAAATGACTGGAACCTAATAGCAGCCTGGAAATAAATCTCAATGCAAGACGCGACAGTGAACTTTGAAAGTAATCAAGAACACTTCAGTGATTTTTATTTTTAACATGAACTCACAGAAACCATTTTGAAATATATGTGTGTGTGTGTGTGTGTGTGTGTGTGTGTGCATGCGTGCGCGCGCCTATGATAGTTTGTTTTCTCATCCTAAAGCTGTATTGACTGGCCAGCCACAGCAGGTTAGTGGGGACAGGAAATGATTGTTCCTCCCAGGATGGTGTTAGTAGCACCAGTCATCATCGATCCGGCCCCAAGTCGATCAGCCCTCAGGACATTTGATTAATGCTGCACAGAGGTTCAAAAATGATGGTTTGTAAGGAGTGTGTTACAGTGCGATATTAGTGATGAACGTTGAAGTGTTACTTGATTGAGCACCCTCATACATTGTTCACTTTAAGTCCTTACATTGTCACGGGCCTGGCAGTTTTAAACTACCGGACACACTGCTGCCCTGTGTGGAAAAAAGAACAAAAGAAACAAAAAAATCTGTCAAGTTAAGAAGATTTTTGGCATTGTTATGTGTTACTGTTGTCCAGTTGACTTCACTGTGTTTATCTCCTCTTAGCATCGTTGTGGTTCGTTAGTGTCTTTTTGAATCTTATGGACTTGCCTTAATTCAAACGTCAGTGGTAAAAAATGAGTGATTTAGGAACATGTTGAAAAGGTGACATGTATGAAATATTTTTCCATTGAAGGATAAGGCTGGTAATATTCTAGATGTTTTTGTCAACAATTATTACCAAGTGAGACCGAAATCAACAATGTGTTAGTCGGTCTTTTGGTCCTCTCTGACCTCAAAAAGTTTAGCGAACTATACCTGGTTTAAATTTTTCCCTCAAGATCACCTTCTCAGATAGCTTCTTGTGCTGCTGCTATTTTTGCATTGCTTTCTGATAGTCCTGCTATGACCACTTGCTCTGTGAGATTTTATCACAGATCTCAAAATTGTGCACAAACCTCAACATCTACTTCAAACTGATCGAGGTTTGTAGGTTCAAACCATGAAGGAGCAACATCAGCTCATGAGTACGACAGGAAGTGTGAGACTACCATTGTGGAGTCCTACTGCTCTACTGGCATCTGAAAAAACATGACCTCAAACAATGTGAGCACTTGCCCAAAATATAAATGGAGTTGAAGCTTTACTGTGTTGGCACACCGGAGGAGATCAAGCATAACTGGCAGAGGTACAAGTGAATGTGACTGCTACTGAGTGACAAAAAAAATAGCAGATGTGCTGGAAGCTGTCTGGAGTTGCACCAGTAGGTGATCTTGAACAGGCGATGGGTCCTGTTTCAATCTGGAAAGTTTAAGAATTTTAACTGGCTGTTTCCCAAATTTTTTCAACCTTTTACATGATCCTTATTGATCGCAGAAGTATGATGTTTTGTTTTGGGGGTAGGAAAGCTAAGGTTTCGTCTTCAGTGGCAAAACTTGTTACGATCATATTATTTATGATTTTTGCCTTTTTAGGCAATTAGGTCGCAATGTAAAAGATCTAGAATAACACCAGCCTTCATCCTTTAAAATGTCAGAATGGCCTTGAAGTTAGTCTACAGAGAGCAAAGGGGACTTGATCCCCATGTGCAGCCATATCAGCTGAGGTATAGTAGGACCTACTAGATCCTGATCTGACCTGAACCAGTTTTGGGATCGATGATAACTCAGCTTCAGCTTCAAACAGGGCAGTCTGGTCTGATGCTATGCAAAGTGTCAGGCAATCTCATTGGACTTAAATGTGAATGTAAATGTTCTCCTCAACAGATGAGTGCGTAGTTTCCAGGGTTCATCCACAAACCCGAGCGCACACGCAGAAAAGAATCAACGTCAGCTGGTAGACTGACACGTTTTTGGCTCTATGTCGTAAATAACAATGACGCTGTATTTTTGTGTGATAAATGTATATACCAGAAAAAAAAGAAAAAAGCATAGGAACAAATTAGTTTAAATGCAGCACCTGAAAATGATGTTTGTTGACAGTGAAATTACAGCTATTTATTTATTTATTCATGCAGTGTCTATAAGAGTATAGTTGTAATCGTGAGGTCACTTGAATAAATTATATTCATTTAGCAAAGTACTGAGTTGGTCTTCTTTTATCTATGCGTACCCACACGTTTGTTCTATAGTGTATTAAATGTAGAGATGAGACAGTAACGGCAGAACGGCATTACGGTAAGACAGTGAATGATAGTTATGGCTTACAGTATGCCTCCAAGTAATAAATGTGAGTCGACTGTGTGTGTGTGTGTGTGTGTTTTGTCTACTAGAGGTTTTAATCTACAGGCTGCCACCCACATGGAATCATCAATCAAAATGCTCACCTCCGAATCTTATAACTGCCAAAACTGTCAAGGCTGTCAATCAGTCTAACGCACACACGCACACACACGCACGCACACACACACAAATAAACAGTCTGGACCCCAGCATGACCCCTGGCTGGTGGAAGACATCTTCAAATTGCATTGTTTCCTCCTCACAGTATTACGTTCAGTAAAAGGTGAGTCATGTCGAATACTGCACCAGATTTGTTATACAGGGTGGGCCATTTATATGGATACACCGTAATAACATGGGAATGGTTGGTGATATTAAAGTCCTGTTTGTGGCACATTAGTATATGTGAGGGGGCAAACTCCTCAAGATGGGTGGTGACCATGG